AAACTTAGAATGAACTTTAATCAAATATATAATTGCCATTTTGCTCGATAACCTTTTGCCATCTTCCTGGCAAATTTAGTATTCCACGCTCATAGAACTTCTGGCCTTTATCTGCAAAAAACTGAACCAAGTGCGATTTTATAGCCTCATCATTGCCGAAAGTTTTACCATTTAAGGAGTTCTGCAAAGATCGAAATAAATGGTAGTCTGATGGTGCAAGGTCAGGGCTATATGGTGGATGCATCAAAAGTTCCCAGCCAAGCTCACTCAGTTTTTGGCGAGTGACCAAAGATGTGTGCGGTCTAGCGTTGTCCTGGTGGAATATGACACCTTTACGATTGACCAATTCTGGTCGCTTCTCCTTGATGGCTGTATTCAATTTGTCCAATTGTTGACAGTAAACATCCGAATTAATCGTTTGGTTCCTTGGAAGCAGCTCAAAATATACGACACCCTTCCAATCCCACCAAACAGACAGCATAACCTTCTTTTGGTGGATATCAGCCTTTGAAGTGGTTTGAGCTGGTTCACCATGCTTGGACCATGATCGTTTTCGACTAACGTTGTTGTAAACAATCCATTTTTCATCTCCAGTTATGATTCGTTTTAAAAACGGATCGAATTCATTGCGTTTAAGGTGCATATCACAAGCGTTGATTCGGTGTGTTAAATGAATTTCTTTCAATACATGTGGTACCCAAATATCAAGCTTTTTCACCAGTCCAAGACTTTTTATGTGATAATGAACGGTTGATTTTGGTATATTTAACTTCTCTCCTATCTCACGCTCAGTTACATGACGATCCAATTCGATTAATGCTTTGATTTGGTCATCATCAACTTCATTTGGCCGACCTGAACGTGGCTCATCTTTAAGTGAAAAATCTCCAGAACGGAATTTGCGAAACCAATTTTGACACTGTCTTCCTTTTAAGGCTTCATCACCATACACATCTCGTAACTTTTTAGCAACCTGCTCCGCGTTTTTTCGTTTACGGAAATAATAAAGTAAAATATGACGAAAATGCTCCTTTGTGAGCTCCATATTAAAATTGACACTAAACAAACAAATATTATATAAACAAAATTTCGCGAATTTTTTTTCTAAAGCAAGCTAAAAGTCACAGCTGATAACTGACAGAAGAAAGAATGCAATTACAGAGTCACAAGCCGTTGAAAAAATTTGTCACCGCCGACTAAACGAAAAATCCGCAATTACTTTTTGGGCAACCAATACAACCAAAAGTAACTTACACCTTGACCAAAACCAAGTCAGAGCGGCGAAATCCGGTCCAAAACGACAACATTAAGGAAGACTGGGACCTCGATATTATCACTTCAGCAGTAGAAGAACCAACCGGTACTGAACCAAAAGATTTGACTACCGCAAGGTAGTCCAAAACAAAATTCACCACCGGAAACACCAGTGCCACTTCTAAATATAGGAGAAAGCCAACAGGGGACTCCCAGGTTACTTCGTTCGGAACGAAGCAGAAACCCAGTTTTATGTTTTGCGATATGACTTATCATCGTCAAACGTCTATTTGTTCCATTGGTGTCAATAGCAACCTTACAAAAATAACAATAAAAATAAAAATAAAAATAAAAATAAAAATAAAAATAAAAATAAAAATAAAAATAAAAATAAAAATAAAAATAAAAATGAGTGAATTTGGTCAATAAACACGCGATATATTTTTGCCTTCAAAATAGGCCCCTACGCTGTTACGAACTGATTGTGTTTTGGGGAAGAAAAGAAAGTTGGCCAACGTCACATCAACGACGAGTGCTTACATAACATCATTTTTTTACCAGCTGACCTTCTGGCAAAAAAAAACTACGAGTTCATAGGTCCGTGATTATCAATATTATATTGACGGTTCATATTCATAGGTTTTTGGTTTGGGCTTAGGTGAAAGACGACAATGACGCTCGCTGACTGGATAGATTAGCAAACTCGTCAATCCTTGTTTTATCACCATGGATTTTTATGACAGGATTTTACTTCATGCCAAGCGAAGTTGACCCCTGAATTGAAGACGTCGGTGACCGAAACGAGCGAAATGATTCTTCCACCACTGTATTACTATATATTACAGCCGAGTGGTCAACGGTATGTACTGGTATTCGAATGAGTTCTAGTCCTGTTCCGGCCAACAATAAAAATTACAGAATATTACTGCGGTCACCATCTGCAGAGTAGATCGAACCCCCAAGTGTATTTCTGAAAAATAAATAAAATAAAAACTCATCATAAAACTCCATACATCATTTGGAGGCGATTATGAGCAAACCATTGGTTACTCCATTTGTTGCGAAAACATCAAGACACACACCCTAATTTTGGGGAGCAGCTCATCCGAAAATCTTTTAAACGATTACAAAGCACCAATCAAAGTGCGTTTTTAAATAAAAAAAAGAATCTTGAAAGGGAAACTGGCAGACGCCTCCGCCTTTTGTAACATACAAATTAACCGTTGCTTGGTATAAATATAATCGACTTAAGTACTCGTAATATAGGATCAGAAGGCGACAAACAGTGCATGCCCTACGAAAATCGAGACTGATACACTTAAATTCAATAGTTTTCCCTTCTAATTAATAAAATCCTTCTTATTTTCCTTCCCGATTGATTGCTCTAGTTCGGATATTTTTTTTATTTTACTTCTACCAAACTCAGATAAGTTTAATTTACCAGACACCAGTATAAGATCAAAATAGATAAATAAGAGCGTAACCTGACCTGGTGCCCCCACAGCCCACTGGCTGTAGGTGAGTGTCAATTTAATATTTAATATTTATGGAATCATTTGTACTCACATTGTTCTCCTAACGAATGTGTGTATGTGTTTGCAGACAAATTAGAGCCTTAAGCCAATTCATATCTGTTTCATTATTTAATTTGTCATCAGTAGCTACCATGCTAATTTGTAAACTGACAGTCGAAGTTCATAACAATGAACCAGGTACACACACACACACATACTTATAACAGTGAAAACTATTGTAAATGGACTTTTCATTCACCACAAACACAATTCACCTGTCCAATGGACAATTTCACGTTAATCAGTTTAAATAACTGTCTATTGCTCACCGCAGAACCAATGAGCTCGGTAGGGAAGCGTTTACAACAAGTCAATCACTTAAAACCACAGACAGGGCGTCCAGCAGCAATATTGTTTTTACAAAGCAACAAACATAAATAATCGTATGCGTTTGTTTGTCTGTGCATACCCGTAGATGTGCAAACCCTTGTAAAATGTAGAGCAGTTTTTCTCTTCACAGAGTTGTCCGGGCTTAATCCTTTTGGAGTGGTGTCGTTTTGCACACACACATTAAGTGATGTTGTTTGCTTAAACATAATCCCAGTTGTTGGCTACTTTTGCTATCGTAAAAATTTGAAATAGTTCTATTATTGACGTATCCTTCTCAGAATTATGCTTTTATTTAGCTCTTTTTGAGTTCATAATGTATTTCTTGACAATTTTAGTCTGCCGTGCGCAGTCGGCGAAAACATTTTTCATCATATTCGATATTGATTTCGTCTAGATTGGAACCCAGGACCTTACGCATAGTAGAACGCTTTGGCAGCCATCAATGCTACCATTTGGAGAAATAGAATTAGCTGGGGAAGCAATAGGTTTGGAGTTAATGAAAATTTAGCTTGCTTTAAGAAAAACCAACGTGTTTACGCATTGGAAACAATATGATATCTGATTAACTGCTCTGTTCACATCTTTCAATCCCTGCTCGCTTGAGTAGCATGCGGCTGGCGTCTGCGCAGCGTCAGATGCCTTTAAGGTATTGGGTAAAGATCATACATAAATGTTCAGTAGCCAAATGATTGCCTTTACGTATTAACATTCGGATGGTTAGGACTCGAGACCTAGATTGTCCAAGCTTTTAAAATTATAAAAAAATTAAATTTTATAATCTGCGGCTGGTCCACGGCAGGGAATTTCAAGCACTCGAGTGTACACTTGACATGAAAATCAAAGCTCCTCATAAAATCGTGGGTCCCTCCATCTAGACGCACCACACAAATTTTCAAAGGAAGTTTCTTTTACAAAAGGAAAGCGGCATTGGTTATTAGATATCTTTATGGCTCAGAAAATTTAAAGCGTCTCATCATCTACGGTGAGCCTATGATCCCTCATACATATTAAGCTGTTGTTACAGAATAAACGATAAACAACGCAATGTGTTGAGACCAGAGATACTAAACAAAAACAACAATATCATTTAATTTTGGCCAAAAAAAATGAAATCGTTAACTTTGAAACCGCACAAATTCATGGTTCATATGGTTAATGTTAATTTCACAGCAGTCAGTTCTGGCGTTTAACATTATCTGTTAAGGATTTAACATAAAAGACAGCTTTTCGTTTCGGGAGAAAAAAAATATTATTTGGAAAACTGCTTTCGAAATGTTTCACTCGAAGCAAGAGAAATTTTTTGACTAACGTGAAATTTATCGTTACAATGGAGCATTGCTTAAGACTAAGAAACCTCGTTTACCCCGATAGAATAAAATAGGGTTTACAAAATTCAGCGAAAGAATGCAAACGAGTACCCTCAGCCGAACACCAGAACCAGATCAAAATTCTGAGAAGGCTTGCGGAAGTTAGTTCATTTTCTAGGATTCTCTCCGGAAGTTAGTTCATTTTCTAGGATTCTCTCTCCAACTTACTCATTCCGAGTTGAGTGCCGTGTTAACTATTATTACTTTTTTCACTCTTCCGCTTTAATTTGCTAGACATAATTAACTTTATTATGTGGTTGGGAGTGTAAAGGAAATATTAATTATGTATAAATCTCATTATATTGCCTTTTATTATACAAAAATATAGATCAAAAAATTTATTATTAACTGGTAAGTTTCAATCTCTTTGAAAATACTCCCTGTTTAAGCAAATTTTTTGTATGTAATTAAGAGCCAAGCACACGTACAAACACCAAAAACAAATACAACAACCATAGCAGAACAATATACTCACCAACAACATAAAGTATTACAGCTGGTGGCATGACACACGTCCCTACAAGCCAATCAGTGATGGCCAGGTTCATCACAAAGCAATTGGTGACGGTACGCAGCCGGCGTGTGGTCAGCACTGATAGTATGACGAGTGTGTTGCCCACCACCGTCACAAGGATCAGTATTAAGAAAATGACTACACCGAGCGCTTTCGGCCATGGCATAGCTAAAAGGTAAGCATCCATGAATGAGACGGTGGTAGTGGCGGTGGTGTTGATGGGGCCAACAACACTGCTGATGCTCAAAATATTGTCGGTGCTAGTGTCGGAATCAAATAGTGCGGTTTTAACATTGGCACTGCCATCTGGGGGACCTCCACTAAAGGCAGTGGAATTTATTTGAATAAATGCATTTGCGGTTGTGACGCTGGGAAATACTGCACTCAATGTTGTGGCTAAGGTTGTCGGCACTGCCGTAAGTGATGTTGCATTTGTAGCAATTGCCGCTGTTGCGGTCGACACGGTTGCATCGCTAAATGGGGTGAGGTGCACACCAGTCGTCGCCATCGTGGTAGTTGCGACAGCAACTGGTGTGGTGGTGGCGGTTGTCGTTATTGCCAGAAACTCATAGAGTAGTGTTCTTAAATGCTGTTCTCCATTTCCTTTGGCAAGGCGCCTCTTCCTCATGCCGTGTGTCTGTGTATAAAGTCTATGTATATACGATTGTCTTCGCACTTGACTTCGCGTAGGACGATTCACAGAATTATTGCTACTCGAGTTGAAGGACCTTGATATTCTGATGTAGGCGGCTGTGGCAGCTGCGGAGGCTAAGGCAGTTTTTCTTGGCAATTTGGTAGTGGAAGCTTCTGTGGTAAGCACGCTTTGGTATGTGGGCTTCATATTTTATACCTAGCTGCCATCACTCCTTGTACATATTTTGTTTCAACTTGATTGCAGTAAATAAATAAACTGTTGACTTTTGGATTCTCTTTTCTTACTTCACTTATCAACCTCCGCGTTCTTTGCTTTTTGGTTATTTTTTTTTTCCAGGTATTGGAATGGGCAAACGAATCTACGGCGCAAGTAAATAAGAAATGAACAAATATTATATTTTTATATGTATTAATTGAATGTGTATATGCTTAAATGGTTTATGGTATCGAGTATTTGCTTAGGAGCTCAATAATGAATCAATACTGCTATTAATGTACGTATGTATAAGAATATAAGTAAGTACTCTTAATTAAAAAATGTACAGGAACTTTAATGAATTAAAGTAAGTATTCATTTAATTTTTATTCTTTCATGAACACGAAATGGTATAATATTTTTGGCAGAAAGTGTGTGGGTAAAAGAAGGTACAGGCATGATCTAGATACTGCTATAACTCCCGTTTCAAAATACAATACAAGATGTGACCCAAGGCCCATCTTCATCTCATTTGGATTCTACTATTTGTAACCATAATGAAAATATCTTTTAAAATTCGATTTAAGTGATTTCAGTCTTTAAATATATATTTGTGGAAGTTCAGCATTCGATTACAGGAAATTCTCATCTTCCCAGGAAGTGGACATCTATTTGGAAAAAATTATTTAATGTATTTTTTGTTGACGAGGGGCCTACGGACCGATTTCGATTTGTTTGAAATTTAATAATTTAATAAAAGAGAGTTCTTGACTTGTTTTGCCATTAGAAAATTGAAATAAATTTACTGTGTCTACATGGCAACGAACCAAACAAAAATTCAATATTTTCTTCTTCAATTTATAATTTTAATTTTTTTATTTATTAAGCTTTGTTTCCTTTGAAATTGAAACCATTTCAAGAGTGTTTGATAGATACTAAGGAACTCCTCCTGAGAATCTATTCACAAACGAAATAAGGGAGCGGTTAAGTCTTCTAGATACACAGTTGATTCGTACCATTACCAATCGTTTTACACAGTGGCCGAGACTTCAACTGTGTTCGTTGAGGAACGTCAGTAAAAATTATCCAGTAAAGAAATTGAGAGAGATGATGTTTTTGAGATGTTTGACTCTGCGAAAGAAAGAAATTGACTGAGTTCTCAACGTACAGGATCCAGTAAAAATTAGCCAGCAAGTTGTACAACAGCTGTTAATTTTTACGGTTAATTTTGAGTTCGTTCATTTAAATTTTTTTTTTTATTTCTTTTAAGTATTTTCCTAAGTGTTTAATAAGCTTGGCAATTATGTTACATTAAGTTATTCCTTTTATTCAAAATTTCCAACCGTGATCTAGTTCTATATGCTTTATTACCATCCAAGGAAAAATATATCAATATGTTTTTCCTAATACTTCTCTAAAAGGACGATGTGATATGATGTAGAACTTGCTTTGCTACAATTGGTCGCTTAGATTTTCAGCAAGGATCACTGAAAAGCGAAAATAAGTTTGAAATTCTTTTTCCAACGCCGCCCATATTTACTCAACATTATTATAAAATTTCTTCGATTCTTTTCAAATAATAACCAAGCAAGAATTTTATTTTTTCTTCTAAATGCTACTAACATTTCATTTTGTGCATCGTCGTCGCTTCGGAAAAATTATAAAAAGAATGGATTATCCTCATGGTGGCAGCAACTTAGCTTCCAATTTGTTATGCGGCTCCTTTGGTCGCCTCTCCTTTCTGGTAAATTATCAATTTACATTTGCCAGTTGATAAAGTAAAAGAGAAGAATATTCACTTCAAAATGGAAGACGGTGCGCAAAAAAATTAAGAAATTTTAATAATTTGTTTATTAAATCATAAATATTTGAACCTAATTTTGGAAAATATGTTTGGATAACAAAAAAAAAGCGGAATGAAAACGCTATCTTCCAAATTAAAAGGGCCATTTTCTTCTCGAAAACTTCTCAAAATACGCCTCTTTGCATTTTTTTTAATCTTCGTTGAATTCCAGGCGTAAAATATGCCTACCCATTTTGGTTTTATTTTTCCTTAAACTAACAACACAAAATCAAATAGTAGATTTTATCTCTAGTTACCTCCTATTTCGCTGGTAACAAAATTTACAGCGTGACAGTGAACTCAGAATATGAAATGGTAACAAAATTTACTGAATGGTAAATTTTAATACCAAAGTAAATTTCGTTACGTCGGCGGAATTGGCCTGTTAACCACTTATTTTGTTGGCATATAATTCATATTAATTAATTAAAATTATTTTAATGTGAAACCAATTTTGTTTTGTTGAAAAAAATTCAATCATATTATCACAAGTTAGCTGTTTTTCATACATCCAATTTTCTCAGCACGAATTTGCAACTTTCACTCCAACTAAACGTCAAAATTACGCTCTCTCTTTATCAATTTAAAACTATTAAAGTTTGGTAAGAATTTTAACTGCCCATCTGGTCAACGAGCTGTTATGTGTCCAGTACAAAAATGGCGCCAGATTTATTATATTCACCGCTTTATAAACTCCAAATGGGGCGGCAACTCTAGAAAAATGCAAAAAAAATCCACAAAATCGTTTTGAATGGTGCTTCACTTTGACGTTGTGTGAGTTAAGCCGACATAGGTGAATTTATGATCCTTAACTACTCAGCGCTTTTATTTTATTATTTTTTTTTCAAAAGTCAGAAATCAAAGTCAAAAATCAGCTGAGTCGATTTTACGGAATAAACCATATACCCGCTGATTTCTCGGTATAAACGTCGCCTAGCGGTGGTAGCTTTTCATTTAACTGGCGTTCTCGTAAGACAGGTTGTGCGCAGTTGCAACTTCGTTTTGTAATTGCGATCGTTGAAACACGACCAATAATCGGCTAAAAATAAGCTGCTCTCGAAACATGAGCTGATCGAATAGTACACTACACAGGAGGTCTTTTGTATTACTCCAAGGGACCAGATGATCCAATAGTGTCTTTAGGGTATTAGCCATTCGTTCGAGACATAGGAAAATGATGGAAAAATACTATCTCAGTAGATCAACATGGACCATAATATTTTATGAATTGCTGAAATTAAGAATTCCAACACAATTCAAAATATTCAAGAAAACAAAAACTCTCATCATCTTTGTTATTATTTCCAGCTGCCTACAATTATGTGCGTGTGTATGAATTCTCATTAATATGTTAACCACAACATACGTACGCTGAATAAAGTTTTCTTTCGCCGCACCTGGTTCTATATTAAATGAATCGATTGCATAAATTACTTCTTTCATAAATTAGCATCGTTTATCAACAGAATTCGCTTAATATTAATTATTCTCTTTGCATTAGAAAAATGTGAGAAGTGGAAAATATTTAACCTGATACTCATACACTCGCACATAATTAACTCGTTAAAAAGAAAAGAAAATTAAAACAAATTTCTTGCCAACTTAATTTTCAGTACTTCTACAGGGTCCGCCACGTAACTTTTTTTTTTTTTTAATGCAATAAAAAAAATGCCCATTCGGCAAATGTAAACCGCATCGGATGGTCTCGTGGCTTCAATTCTTGAACCAATTGAACTTTGTACGGTGTCATACCAAGGTCTTTTTTCAAAATTCGCCTAAGGGTCGTCTCGGAAATGTTCAATTGTTGAGAGCGACGCTTGACTGATGTTCCGGGCACCTCACGCACACTCTCGGCCACAGCAGCGATATTACCGGCAGTACGCCGGTTTCTCACGCGTTGGTTTATCAATAATTGTGCCGGTTTCTCTCAATTTGTTCAAAAGAAAGCGCACATGCGGAGCGGACGGTGCTTTGTTACGGCTCATTTCCGTGCGTAATTTTCGCACACATTTTCAAAGTAAAACTGCACTATTTTAACGCGTTCCTCAGTCGTATACACAACCATTTTCATTCAGCGGAAGGAAAAAACTAACTTTCTGTCAAATCAGATGTAATATCAGTGTTACCACACTCAAAATCACCACTAGTTCAAAGAAAAAACGTTAGATGGCGGACCCTGTATATATTGGGAATATATGTAAAAAGTCTGTAGATTGAGTCTAATCTTTGTAATGAATAAAATTATTAATGAATAAATTTATTCAGGCTGACCTTATAAGAGAGTTGAACTCGGTTTAGTTTCAACATTTAGACCTTACTTTCCAGTCCTTAGATAGTCTACTACTATTAAGGGGGCAGCCTGGTTTAGAACGCTGAAATTTTCATGATGTTCGGCACAGTGTTTTAGATTGCCTTACGTATGAAATGTTTCAAGTACATTTAAAATAGGTCATAGCTACACAAGTCTTGCAAAAAAAATTTACTTTCACCTTATTTGATACTGTTAAGCAACAACAATTCGTATTTGTTTGTGGCACTTTTCTCTCGAAGAGTCTATTTTGTGAACACGTAGCGATCTTAGTTTTCATCTGAAACATAAAAACGAATACTTTTTTGTAGCTTAGGAGTTGCTCTTCAATGTAAACCTAACATGTTAGCAGAAATGCAGAAAATTATTTATTTTATGAGTGTTTTTGAAAAATTTTGTGTTTTTCTGAAGAAATTTTAAGATAATTTATTGCAAAAAGTTAATAAAAAAAATTATTTTATTATGATTTTTTTAGGTTCACATAGAGGCCTTCACTAATAGCTGTAAAAAAAAGGTATCACTCACGAAATAGCGACAATTACAACTTTTGAGAAAATCGTGTTCAAAGTTCTTGCGCCCGCTTATCAGTCTCCTCAGCGCATTCATATATTTCTAATCGAATGAGATAAGTTTCAAAAAATCGCTTTTTTTGACCCTCTAGACCAGGATACCCCGTTAATAAACAATTTGTATATATTTTATATACACATAACAAATAAAAATGGAAATACTTGTGGCATTGTATTTCCATTTTTATTTTCATTAGTAAAATTTACATATTAATTTAAATTTAAATAAAAAATAAATTCAATTTTTTATTTCCGTCGCCCTTCCCCTCATTGGTACTGAAAGTCATCGAAATCAGACAACTACTTATGTATATATATCATACAGCCCCCATACAACCTATTTTCTCAGTTATGAGTGTTTGCGTCAAAAATCGGTTATTCAAAAGCGATTAATTCGGTGTTATGCACACGAATATTCAAATAAACATTGGCGCTGAAAATCGTTGAAATAAAAGTCACACCCTCCGATTGTATTTATGACATGAATATTAGAATATATTAACTCTAGAACAAAAATTTTATATTAAAACCAGAATTTATTATTACTATTTTTAATAAGAACTTCTTTGTCAAGAAATTTTATGGGCGAAAGTTTTGCTTTTGTTTACACTGATCAGAACGACGAGTTGTGAGCTGAAAATCGTTGAAATCATAGTACTGTATAATGCAGCACCCATACCAAATATTACTAACTAAAATTTTTGAAATCGAATTTTGTACTTTGTTAATAATTTTATTAAAGATAGAAAGACTTCTGCAGGAGCGGAGACAGCACTTCTTTCTTATTTACATTACCGGCAAATATAATATCATTAGTTTTATATGACAATGGAATTATTAGGTATTTCATTTATTTTCCAATATTAAAATTATTATTAGTATTTTTTTTTTTTTTAAATTATAACAAAATTTTTGGGTATGAATATTCCCTTCTCTTAAGAAAGCTACAAAAAAAAAATAATGCAACACCAAAAAATCAATATTTATCTTTTAGCTAAGCGGCTGCCAAAGTCCCAAAGCCTAAAGTACTTAATGAAACGAATGTATGTTTTTTTGCTTTTCCATATAGTCTCCCTCAAATGAAATACACTAATATTGACTCAACAAATTACCGTAGTACTGGCCGTTCATTATAGTTCACTTTGGCAAGTAGAGTCAATTCAGTATCCCGGCATCCTGTTGGACTCGAGATCATATTGACGAATCCAAGTTTCATCAAAATTCAATGATCTTTGCACAACTCCAAAAGATCTTTGCAGCGTTCCAATCGTCGTTACTTGTCGAGCGGCGTGAGCATTCGCTGTACCCAACGCGCACTCATTCTTTTCACATTGAAGTGTTCATTCAAAAACTCTCCAGCTTGTTCTTTGCTAATCATTAATTCTTCTGTTATCTGCCACAATTAACTCTTCGAATAGTCGATATTAACTTTTCGACTTTCTGAACGTTTTCTTCGGTCACGACCGTTATTGGATCCACGCCGGGATCATCTTCATAGGCCTCTCTTCCTTGTTAAAATAGCCGAGACCAGTTTTTTTATACCTTCGTATATGAAAGGTCAGAGTCCTGAAGAACCGATGACATCTCTTAAAAAGTTTCTTTTGACGCACTTCATTTTTTACAAGTAACTTAATCACTGCGCGGTGCCCCAGATTGCGAGAATTTCCATTTTCCGTTGACATACTCGTAGTGTAGTTGCTTGTTCCGGGAACAAAATCTTTGTGAACCTAAAAGAAGATTGCGTTATTTAGACAAATAATGGGTCTCGTGATTAGTATTATCAGTAACGAGTTGGTATGCCATCTCTAACTACCTCAGGTCGCGGACTTATCAGCAGCCTAGCGGACGGCAGTATTAATTACATACTGCGAACAACATCAGGTTAGAATTTGTAGCTAACAGGAAGCAAACATGGGAGTTAGAGAAGAGCTGATTGGTATTTCAATGAAACTCTTAAAAAAGTTCAATAAATCGAAAAGTCTAACAATGAGAAGAAACTTTGCAGTCTACTCCAGAAAAAAATGATATGTAAATGCATTGTAGACTTTTACGCGTCTCTTAAAAAATACATATATATGTACATATATTTGTTCACATTTAATTGGCTACTTTTCTTTCACAATAGAATACAGCTGCCAATTTTCAATAAAGTCGACAACGGAGTTTAGCAGATAGAATTCACTTTCTCGCTGATTTCTCGCCATTTTCGTACCAGAGCGAGGCAATAATGACAGCGAAATGAAATAAGAGCCAATTATATTGGCTAAAAAGCGAAAATGGTGCAAATAAAAAATACATTTTCCAAAACAGTATGAGTAATAAATTTGAAAATAGTGCAGTGATATTTTCAAAAATTAATATAAAGCCTTGAGTAGTGGGAAATAGTCAAGTGATGATAAGTTTTATGTATGTAGGTTGTTATTTTGAATAAAGTTTGAAAAATAATTTAAAGAATAGCGCTTATAATTGTTATTAAAAACTTGATGCACATACATATGTACATATATGACAAGTGAATTTCTGTTTAGTAGGTAAATAAATACTTCCACTAACTAAAGAGTTGCTAAAAAAGTGTTTAATAAAGTTAATATTTGCATAGCAAATGTGCACATTATATATAAATTGCACATAGTTGTGATAAAAATTTATGCTTACGAGTATATATATGTATATATGATATATATATAACAACTCCAAAGCGGCTGAAAAATTAATTTATTTAGTTTATGAGCGCGATACCGTAAACGAACGTGTTGCACAAAACTGGTTTGCTAGGTTCCGTTCCGGTAATTTCGATGTCAGAGATGCACCAGGTTTTGCGGTGTGTTTGATGGGATTGGTAAGGAATCATCTACTATGAGCTGCTCCCCTATGGCCAAACGCTCAATTCGGCCCTCTTCTGCTAACAAATGGGCCGCTCGAAGGCAGCACTCATCCAGAACCAGATGAGACCATCTTTGATCCACAGAGGCCGAAATGTGTTCCATCAGGACAACGCCAGGCCACACACGTCTTTGGTGACGCGCCAGAAGCTCTTTATGGCCCGGACTTGGCACCAAGTGATTACCATCTTTTCCTGTCCATGGCGAACGCGCTTAATGGTGAGAAGTTGGCCTAAAGAGAGGCCTGTGAAAATTGGCTCTCCCAGTTTTTTGCCAATAGGGACGCAGCCTTCAACGAAAGGATTAAATTTAAATTGTCATCATTGGCAACAAATGTTCGAACAAAACGGCGCATATTTGACTCAAATCAGACAAATGTACAAAAAGTTATCATATTTTGAAAAATCAATAGAAAAAAACCGAACGAACTTTTTACTTGACTTAATATTATATTCTTGATTTGAAGCCAGTTAACAGTGAGCCCAGCCGTTTGCCTCGGATCATTGTTCTTGTCGTAAAACAATATCAGTAGCTTAACTCCCGAGTCTTCTATAGTTCACAATATATTATTACCTAAAATCTCCATATGAAACTCTGGTGAAATTCTTCTTTCAACTTTCGCCAGCCTACAACGCACTTGAAAGTCATGCAGCCCGAAGCATTGACTGAAAAATCCCATTGGCGCTACATCATGTTGTTGCAATTTCGAGCTTTTATTTCTCTCTACCCTAGACCGAAAACGATTTTTTTTGTCTGATCCGAACACAAAACCTCCCAGACATTCGTAACTACCTATGCCGGTCACTGAAAAGAGGTTTTTTTGACTTTTACTGGCTTAATTTTCGCAAAACACGATTGACTGTTTCTTCTGAAACTATGATATTGTTTTCCTATTTTAAGCTATAGCTCGTTTCCAAGGCTTTTTTTTAAGTTTCTCGCTTCTTATCTTCCGGCCAATGTCTCGCTCCTGGACTGGATTGCACATTCGCTTGCGGCCTTCCCTGTTTTTAGTGGCCAAATTTGCGAAATTTTGCTCAAAACTTTAGTGGAGACTTTCAGTTTACCCGTGAATATTTGTATTAATCCTCAAAGGTTAGAAAATAAGAGTAATTTTTAGGTTAAAAGAAAAAAATTTTTTTTTGAAATTTAAATACCGCTAGCCATAGCATAGCTGCAATGCTGCGCGAGTTCAAACCCTTCCCTCGATTCTTTTTCGCTTTTTATGTTTTGAAACTTGAATTTTTTACTTCAGCTCAGTTTGAATTTCTGATTTTTGTAAATTCTGCCAACATCACGGTGGTGTTAAAAGAAAAAGGAAGAGCTAGGAAAAGGGATAACACATAACTTTGCCTGTATTTGGGTTTAGTTTACTTGTGGGGAACTTTAAATCCACGATTTTGTAATTTATTTTTCGCTTTTGAAAATTTTATATTTTTGGCGAAATTTGAGTTTGTCTTGAGGGGACTATTTGTAAATGAAGAGTAGAAGGAGGATGACGAGGTTTTGTGTGCAGTAGTGTTTTTGTTGCATCTATTGTATGTTGAGAAGAGTAAAGCGAGATGGGTAGATGTAGTTGTTGTTATGATTAATAGTGTAAAGTGTAAAGGAATTGTGGTTATGAATGAAAAATGCTTCTTATTTATGTTAGAAAATTACTTTCTTGACTTTGAATGGCTTTGTGCGTGCTATTAGTTGCTATGTACAAGTATATTATATAAATACATATTCATATGTACCTATATACAGGGTGTGATTTGCTAAATTTACTGAATACACTCTTTAATTATATTAATCAACCCAAAAATCAAGCATATATTTATATGTACATATGTATACCTATATGATGTCTTCATTTACGAATATATATAATACATCATACTACAATGCCAATATACTAAAAAACTTGCTGATGGTTTTTTATAAGGTGCCTAACTTTCCTGTCCAAAATACACTCGGAAGGATGGACATTCCCTGCCGATGGTCGATCGCAATTAGAAAATTTGAATTAATTTTCCATCAGTTTTGTATCTTGTTGGTACCAGGATATGAACACGAGCCTTTCGAATGTCAGTACGTAATGCTAACTACTCGGCTAGCGGAAACAAAAACAAACATTATTGCCTCATTTGGGATAATGAGCAACATGAACCGACTATCTGATGTCTGATTTGTCATCTCGGCGATATTTGGTTTTAATAAGACGACGCTACTTCCCACACATCACATCAATCCATGGATTTATTGGTGAGTAGATAATTTGACGTTTAGCCACCAAAATGGTATGATATCACGACATTATACTTTTGCCTGTGAGGATATAAAAATTCTATGCGAACATTTGCACTTCGATTTGAGCCTTGGGGCAAAACATCACGCGTGTCATTCCCCAGTTACCACTAAATATACTCGAACGAGTCATCAAAAATTGGACTCAATGAATGAAGCATATGAGATGAAGCCGCGGCCAACATTTGGAGGAGATAATAAATGCAAGCAAAAAATGCCAAAGAATGCTCTTTAGTATGATAATAAGCATTCCCCAATAAATTTAAATTTTCTGTGATTTTTTTTTTCAATAAAAAGTAGGGATCCTGAAAATGGAACACCTTTTACAAACTGTGGGTTCATTCATTTTGTTGGAAAACATCAAATTTAATTGGAGCCGGTGCTCGGCGTAAGAAGATTAACCCAGGAGAATTTGATCAACGAAAGTGGGTCCACAGCAGACACATACGCACATACGATGTAGAAGTCCAAGTGAGGCCAGGTCACTCTCCACCTGATCTTTCCAACATAGTGGAGGTCTTACTCTTCCTCTGTTTCCACCGGCCGGTGCTGCATCGAATAATTTCACAGCAGGAGTGCTTTCACTCATTCGGACGATATGACCTAGCCAGCGTACTCGCTGCATCTTCATTTGCTGAACTATGTCAATACCGTCATATAGCTCGTACAGCTCATCGTTCCATCGTCTGCGGTGTTCGCCGATGCCAACGTGAAAAGGACCATAAATCTTATGCAAGACTTTTGTCCCGAAGGCTCCTAGGGCCGACTCATCATACGTCGTCATGATTTTATCGACTTTCCACTCCGTGAAGCATCCTTTACATCAAAGTTACCGGAATGAAACCGAAATTTTGCAAGGTTGACTGTAACAGTTAAAAGACCACAAATGTTATTCACGTTTTCAGCAGCCCGACTTTCGTTTTCGTCCTTATCGAAGAAAAACTGTAAAATATAGCGTATTTCTCCTCACTAGTGTTCGTCCTTTCCGCGCGTACAAACAAAACTAATTCAACCATTCAAAAAACTGTCCGAAAAGTTTTTTTAGAACGAAATGTGAACTTTCTAATGTCATCTAGCGGAACCCGATCAGATTTATACAACACGATATACAGATAAATAATGTCATTTTTTTGGAAAAATAATGGATTTACTTTTGCTGCACCAATATTTAGTTAAAAATACTAATAAATTTGGGCTTTGAGGGGCGTATTTACTTACAGTTCCATTTTGAAGTGTCACAGAGTTTTGAAGTTCGACTGAAAATTCCTTTAGCGAGTTACTTTGCAATACCACGAGTATTGTCAGGTATTTTTTAGACGACGGCAACTCAAATCGTTTAATAAATATCTCCGGCAGCTTATTTTGTGTTGTTGTTTTCCATTTTATTTGACAACCCACCTAACGTTGTATTTTTTGCAGGTCGAATACAAAAGAAAATAACTAATAAATATAAAATTACAAAAACCAGCGTTTGCTATTTCTCAAAAATATAAATATCTTGACACATTTTGCTAGTGTAATTAAATTTTTTATTTTTATTTTTTTTTTTTTTGGTTTAACAAACGCTGTTTTAATATTTGATAAATTAAAAAAAATTGCATTTTGTGCAGCTTTTTCAACAACATTTGGAAGCAATGAGATCACAGTATGTATTTGAGGTAGCAACGGCACTGCCAACAACAACACTAAGTCACATTTCCCTGAACGACACTGTGTCAATAAATCAACAAAATACCGCAAATGTAAATATTTATTGTAAAACAACAAATGTCAACAATGCAATCAGCACCCAATACAACGTGTACACTTTGGAATGCAATCAGCTTTTGTCGGCCCCACAACTTAATCAACTTTACGATTCTTTGAGGTGTGATTTATACATGAGCAGCAGCACTAGCAGTAGCAGTAGCAGGAGAAGGTACAGTTGCAGTAAATCGACAGCTTTTCTCTTAGATATTAAAAGGCATGCATGTACGCATGTATTACATATGTACATATGTAACTTAAGGTGTGAGCAAAATACTGATTAATAATATACATTATTTCTAAAGTTCGACTGGTCCAAGTCAGAAAGTGATTGGAATGCATAACTTTGTTAGAGGGAGCTGAAAATTTACCATCTCCTCAACCCTTTAAGCAGGACGTAAGAGCCACCGTCCATTCAAGCAGCGTGAGAAAATGCATTTGGTTCAAAGAGGATGCGCTGAGCGATAATAAAATACCATGTTGAAATAAATAAACAAAATTTTCAGATCAATAAAGAAAAAAATATATAAGAATTGTGCAGCAGCGGTTGAGACGAATCCAAATGATCCAGCTGCCACTTTCGCAACTTGTTATAGAATAAAACACATCAGCAGTTAGTGATGGCCACATTGTCGATTGTATGAAATAACAACACAATTATATTTGCAATACACAAATTAACAACATTTACAAAAACAACAAGAACATGCAATGGGCATGCAGCATAACACATTATTGCGCCATTACCAGTGATTATTTATTCTCACGTATAAAATGTGTATTTGTTGACTTTTCTTTGGGTTTTCATTTTATACTTCACACCAACAGGCTACATACGTGTATGCATATTCACTAGTACTTGCTTAGCGAACAGGTGGCTCGGCTCGTATAACAGTAAATTACATACATATTGGGCAGAGCTTTCTAAGGCTGACGACGCCAGCACAAACCGTTTACGTGTAGGAGACGAACTGATGCGACATCGGTCGAAAATCCGTTTGCGAAAGTCTGAAACTCCAGCGCAGCATCGCCGTCTCTATGCTGGCAGAGATGCGATTCGTTTGACGTTTGCGAAAGTCTGAAACTCCAGAGCAGCATCGCCGTCTTTATGCTGGCAGAGATGCGATTCGTTTGACGTTTGCTCTCATCGTACACCTTGTCTATTAAACAACCTGTTATATTTATAAAGCAGCCAAGAACCGGTCACTGGAGTGACATGGAAAGCTCGTTGGCGGAGCATCTTCGTATTCCATTAAAAATGAAAATATTATCATTTAGTAAATAAAATGCATTCTTAGAATAATATAATTTTATCGTAAGTACCACAAGGTATTAAGAGGCAAGCTCAGACTTACACAGTTTATAATAAATATTCGAAATTTCATTAAAATTTAAATTAATATTAGCTCCAAAGGAAAATTTGCACCACACATCCGGAAAAAACGGGTGAATATAACAGTTGTGACTGCCTTACTGACTGCTGGCGTCAGCGAATGTTGGCTGTGTACGAGGCACTACACTTGTCCCGTCCAACCACTACTGGGCGAACTGATTCTAAGATCATGGAGCTGAATGATTCTTCTAAATTGACATTCTGATTAGAAGGATTTTAAGGTTATAGAGCACCTTTCACTGCATCCAATAAAAAAAAACTATTGATTCAATGACTACTGCCAACTACTATTGAAATTTAATAAAACAAGAAAGAAGAGCTGCCTTCGGTCATGGCGAAGTCTTTATACCTTTAATTTTAAATACTAATGATCATATTTGAAAAATTGGTTGGATGATTTGTATATAAGGAATATCAAGTTTGATACTTAGATACTTTTTTGACGGATTTTTGGCCCCAAATCGTATGTTTGGGAGCTTTATGATATAACCCTCCGATTTCAATAACTTTTGGTTTCAATGTTGTACGTGCGGAATACCAAATTTTTGAGATATTTTTTGACAAATTTATGACCCAAACTCTAAAATTTGAAAAGTCGTAAACCGATCTGGTCCGTTTCAATAAAATATTGTTTAAATGCAACAACAACTTGATACAATGTGTATCAAGTTTAGTTGAAATAACTCAAAAACTGAAGGAGAGCCGGTTATGGCTAAATCAACTCAACTCGGCTCAACCTTCGGTACACGTTTTATTGAATATTTCTCTTCTCCTTCTAGTACCTACATACCTCGGACCAAGGTTAATATACCATTTAATGTACAGGAAGTTCGTAGCTTTCTAGAAAGAAGGCTCTGAACGTAATTTAGAACCAAAAAGCGGCAAACTCCACACCTCTTTGAAAAGACAGAATAAATTAGCACAGCTAAAATTATTAAGCTTTGATTTAGCGCCAGGAGGTTTGTTCGTTTTCTCTAAAAATGTTTGAAATGTGAAACTTTCGATTTCAAATCCGTCGGTTGAAAATGATTTGAACAAAGACGTCAACGAATGTAGAATATTTCAACTAGCCAAAAACGGTCATTGCATCATTGGCCATTGCTGTGAATATAAATAAATTCCAGTGGAAAAATATGAATGAACTGGCGTAATTGACAACTGGACACTGGTTTTGTCGCATGAACTAAGAAAATACATAGTTACTTTGCTACATATTCATTTCTGATTTTATATATACTTTTTTGAATAACTTCATTCAATTGATTGAATGACTTTTTATTCAATTAATTTATGCTATATTACAACGCCGAAAATGTTTGTTAGATGTGCGGAAAATTAACTTTTGAATCTCAGTGTTTACACATTGTACACATCATTATGTATAGTATTTGGGACTTCCTATGAAGAATCATGATAAATTTTGGGTCTTGGGTTCCGCGATTGGCTAAATAAACAAAATAAACATTTTCCATTTATTATATTAGTAACTAAAATTGTTATTTTTGTTTGACTCAACCAAAAAGTTTTTACAACCACTTCCAAACACACTTTGCACTAGACAACCTTGTTTTCGTCCAAAAGACCCATGCCATCCTGCCAGTGCCAAAACCTTGAAATTGATCAGAAAGGCCGGATTCTCATGAAGAATTCATACCAATTCAACACGATATGGTATCTCAATATAGTGGCTCAAGTTATGAACAGTCAACTTCAAAAACAAAAAAGAGGGAATTCTTGTAGGTCCACAAATACGGTAACAGATAAACTATAAGAATTTTGAAGAAATACTAAATGAAATAAAATAAAAATTACTAAGCATTGTTTTCTCACAATTTTCCTGAAAACCATAGACCAGACAATTTTATATAATTAGCAAAGCTGGCCATAAGTTGTTGTGGCTTTCTGTATTATATCCAATTTTAATTCCAATTGGTATTACAAAGAATTAATAAGCATCAACTAAGTCAAAATACTAAGGTTTATAATTATATTATTTATCTAGCTACTTATGTGTGGGCCGCTTCTTCGCTGCTCAAATTCCTTGACGAAAATGGCAATAGCAGTGCCTCGAAGTAAGCTGAGCTTATTCACACTCAAGTTCAACGTATAAGAATAGCTTGAATTCCATAGCCGCATAATAACAAAACTAGGAATCGAACTAAAATATGCACGATCTATGATATATAATATTATATAATAATATAATTGGCGCTTTATAGCCGCTGTAGCGGTTTTCGGCCGATATTCTACTCGAATTTTTTTTTTTTTTTTATATAAATTAGTTTTCTAAAACGTACAGCTGCTGATCATACCAGGATTTGAACCCACCCATCTATGCTTGTGACCAAATCATAGTTATATTTGTCAATCTGACGGTGACCTCTCTCCCGTAAATTAAATATTATTTATATTTAGAACGAATTGAGCTTGGTTTCAGGTCTCTGGTCCATTACCAGGAAACAAAAGTCTTCCATTTAGACATATGAAGATATATTTTTTTTTTTTCGAATAGATCCGTCCAGTTCCCATAGAAAAAGAATTTCAAGCAAAGACTACTATAAATTCGATTTTTTCAAATAGACAAGCCGCTGGTACACTTCCCGGAAAGAAGAGTAAGCGAAAGACAAGAGATTGTATTTTTGTCCGTATAAATCCTCCCAGGAAATATAGAAATAATTTTTGTCATCAAAAATATATTTGCAGGGCTTTCATTTGAATTTCTTCAGATCAAATTTGGGTGATATTATAGACGAGATATTTCCTTTATGGGGAAGCGTTATCCCTTGAATTATTATTGTTAGAGACTCAGAAGGAATCTTTAAAAAGCCAAGAAAACCCTGAATTATTTATTGCAAGTTAAGCAATCAAATTTTTTCTGAAAATAGATTTTTCTGATGTCACAATAAAATCTGATGTCCAATACATACATACACATTTTTCATTGATGTATTATTATTGTTTGTTGGCTCACTGACGTCCGCATACTGCATCTCGGTTTTCCAAAATATTTCTAAATATTTTGTATGGCAAGGCGCGAATGGAATACAGAAAGTAAACAATACCAACAAACAACAATTGCCCACCTCCACTAATTGGCGTCAATTGCGCAAATACCAAAATATTATACATATTATATATGTATGTATGTAATCGTACAGCAAGAAATGAAATATACAATATGTAAATAAATATTACACATACACGTATATAAAGTTGCATAAAACATGTTTATGGATTTGTATTAAATATGTTAACTTTTCAGCTGCTTTGTAATCAATGTTGATGCTTTAATGTCAATGTCATCTGGTTACTAGAAGATTGATGA